GGCCGGTATGAGAACAACTTTTGGGAAAGCAAGGCTATGTGAAATTAAATGGAAACGTCAGTTCAAATCAGATCATTGTGGGAAAATTATTCTTCTACCAGTCCTTCATCACCTCAAACGAAATTGGGTGAATACATCTCATTACACTGATTTATTGGTAGTCTCGAAACCCTACTCACATACGAATGCATCATAATTGTCAGCTTCAGTAAAATCACCTTTTACAATGCCCGGATAAGATGTTGTATCACTATTTCGTACAGTTCCCGCATTAAAGTATATAACCTCGGCTGACATAAGACAATGCACTGTCTGTCGAAATGATCAGCCATGCCCATCAATATTTAACTCTATTTGCGAGATTCGAATCAGAAATTTACATGTCCTGCAACTAGCCTGTAGAAGTATAATTAATTAGTATGAGATGTAATCACCTTATTTCGTTTAAGGTAGTAGAATTTTCCCATATTGATATGAGTATAGCTGACGATTCTATTGAATTTCACACTGCCTTGCTTTACCAAAAGTTGTTCTCATCCAAACACCAGTTGACTGCAGTTTCGACCTCACATCAGTCTTACCAAAACCCCTCCAACGGGAGTCGAACCGTGATAGTGCAGATTGGGAGATTGACACGTCAACCACTGAGTCACATTGCTACGAGTGCCTTTGGGTCAGAGGTCAAATGTGAATTTATAGGAAGGACAGGGCTTTTCCCACATCATATTTTTTGGTGGGATTGTCGATGAAGCAAACGTATATTTGCTATAACAATCGACTACGTTACTTATTTTTCGTATTTAAGTAGAGTTTTGAGACTACCGGTACTTCATCACCTTAAACGAATTAGGATGAATACATCTCATATTACTGCTTTACTGGTAGTCTCGAAAATCTACTCAAACACCAAATATAATTTATTAGTTGGAGTGCCATCAGCGTATTGATGATGCCAAAGTGGACTAGCTTCTAGTGGGAGTTTTGGCCGAGCTTTTAGCTTTCAGGGCAGGGGTTTGGAGTTTGAGAAAATGTAAAGTATGTGCAAGCATATGTAATCTGTTCACCTTCATCCACAAGCCAGGCACTCTAGCGTCGTAGATACAGTCTAAAGCGTCTCGTAGCATTTCATTCATCACGACCGTGCCGTCTATTGCAAGCCTCAGATCAGTGACTGTTTCTAGCACCATTTGGAGCACTTTGTTGATGCGTTCCACCTCTTGTCGCAGAAATATGGTCATCGGTTTCAAGTTGCCCAGAGCCTCGAGTTGCTCGGCCGTCCGGAAGGGATTGTAGAGCGATGGCAATTTGGAAAGCATGTCAGTGCAGAGTCGATGAACTACAGCCTCTCGAGTCTCCACTCCACTGCTGTTGGCAGCACCGGCGCTGTGAGGCTCACTTGCCGCAGCACCGGCTTCATTGGCCTGTCCTGATCCGGCCGGATCACCATCACTGGCCTGATCAGAAGAGTCTTTCGGCTGAATTGACACTATTGTGGACAGAATGTAGCAGGTCGTCTGTGTGGAGTAGGTGATTTCAGCATTGGAATGCAAACCGAAGACTTCAGGTGCATCGCGAGCTGGCAGGTCATTTGCGATAAAGTTAAGGTAGTCAGAGACCTGTTGAAGTCGGGGTATCGGATAGTTAGTAAAGATCTCAAAGTCTGGAGAGAACATCATCTCTTGGAAGTAGGCCCGCGTCAAAGTGATGAGAAGTCTCGAGTCGAAATCGTCCGTCACTCGGCCGCCATATTGAATCTCGCCGATCATGTAACGGGTGCACTTCCAGTCGATGCCCTGTTGGGATTTGAAGCAAGCATGAGCAAAGACAAATGCTATTATGCGAAAAAACATGGGTTTTAAAGAATCTTTTATTTCATAATTGTTGAGCTTACTTCCATTTCGAGTGAAAGTTATTTGGTCAAGCAATTCGAAGGTTGATTCCACGAGAAGACGACCAGCAACGGATTCCTATTGACCGGCTGTCTATTGGCTTTCCTGGAAGATTCATGCTGACGCTGTTTCCGAGGCAATCTTCTTCGATTCCGATGAAAAGATGATAAGCTTTCGTCCGTCAGAGCAAGGTATCATCGTCACAACCAAATTCGAGCTAACGAGTCAAGAAAACTCACCGGCAAATCCCTAAAAAGCTGTATATATACTCTGATCATTCTTTGAACAGGTATAAAGTGATTCGGTTAGCTACGGTCAGAAGTTGACATATGACGGTAACTAACCAAATCACTTTATATTTGATTAAATAAGTCAGATACAGAGTAAATATACCATTTTTTAGGGATTTTCCGGTGACTTTTCTTAACTCATTAGCTCGAATTTGGTTGTGACGATGATACCTTACTCGGATGATGTTCATCACATGACAGAAGAAAGCTTGGCACATTTTCACCGAAATCGAAGGAGATTGCCTCTGAAACAGCGTCAGCATCAATCTTCCAGGAAGGCTAATCAATAGCTAGTCAAGAGGAATATATTGCTGGTCGTCTTCTGGTGGAATCGACCTTCAAATCTCTTCACTAAACACTTTCACTCGAAATGGAAGTAAGCACAACAAATGCTATTATGCGAATAAATGTTTGGTTTCGAGAAATCTCTTATTTCATAATTGTTGAGCTTACTTCCATTTCGAGTGGAAGTGTTGGGTGAAGAGATTTAACGGTCGGTTGACCCGAAGATGACGGCCGATTCCTCTTGAGCAACCGTCGATTACCTTTACTGGAAGATTCGTGCTGACGCTGTTTCCGAGGCAATCTCCTTCGATTTCGGTGAAAATGTGCCAAGCTTTCCTCCGTCATGTGATGAACATCATCAGAGTAAGGTATCATCGTCCCAACCAAATTCGAGCTAATGAGTTAAGAAAAGTCACCGGCAAATCCCTAAAAAACGGTATATTTACTCCGTATCTGGCCTCTTTAATCAAGTATAAAGTGATTTGATTAGTTACGCTCAGAAGTTGACATATGACGGTAACTAACCAAATCACTTTATAGTTGATTAAAGAGGCCAGATACAGAGTAAATATACCGTTTTTTAGGGATTTGCCAGTGACTTTTTTTAACTCATTAGCTCGAATTTGGTTGTGAGGATGATAACTTTTCCTGATGAGGTTCGTCGTTTGACGGACAATAGCTTAGCACCTTTTCACCGAAATCGAAGGAGATTGCCTCGCAAACAGCGTCAGCATGAATCTTCCAGGAAAGCCAATCGACAGCTGGTCAAGAGGAATATGTTGCTGGTCGTGTTCTGGTGGAATCGACCTTTGAATCTCTTTACCAAACACTTTTACTCGAAATGGAAGTAAGCATAACAAATGCTATTATGCGAATAAATGTTGCGTTTTGAACAATATCTTATTTCATAATTGTTGAGCTTAATTCCATTTCGAGTGAAAGTGTTGGTTGAAGAGATTCGAAGGTCGGTTCCATCAAAAGACGACGGCAGATTCCTCTTGACCATCTGTCGATTCGCTTTACTTGAAGATTCATGCTGACGCTGCTTCCGAGGCAATCTCCTTCAATTCCGGTAAAAAGGTGCTAAGCTTTCGTCCGTCATATGACGGACATCATTAGAACAAGGTATCATCGTTACAACCAAA